CCATGTTCGGATAGGAAGAAAACGTAAAAGTGAGATTTTAGCTATGGGAACCCCTTAGTGACTTAAGATAAGTAGTATATGATGTAAAAGTAGTTTAAATAATTATTCTGCAAAGAGTTTACAATTACGGTTACAACTTTTATTTATTACGCTTTTTATTGTTTTAAATGCTCGCGTAATAAACGGAAAAAGTTTACTCGCATTTTTATAAATGAATTGTTGTGATTGTAACTGCGCTTAATATCATAATTAATGTTTACAATACCGGTGTACAACGGGCTGTTACACCCACCATCATCTTCTTGCCTCCCATTGTTTCCCCTCACCTAACCTCAAGGCACCGTAATTGTCTTGAGAAAATTAACCCAAACACTTTATAGTCTCCACCTTGCATTCGCCTAGCAAGCTACCAAGGAGAATGAGGGATGAAGGAGAAGGAGTTCTCACAAGAAATCAAGAGGCAATCATGTGGATCAACGTTAGAGGACTTCATACACATTGAGGTCTTCAAGTAATTAAAGGTAATCCTAAACCCTATGTGTTTAACGAGTGGATCCTAAGGAACTCATGAGAACCGTAAACGAGTTATGAGTTCTGCAAAGATTGACAAAGATTGAATTTTTTTTTTGTTTTTCACCCTCATTAACATGTTGCTTGAACATCAAGCAACATGAATTTTATCTTTCACAGGGTATCAAAGCCTTGCTCGCTACCGTAAACTTGTGGGGTAGTTTTCATTCAATTTTCAAAAAGTGTTTTGAAACCTACATTTTTTCATGAATCTTGATTCTTAAAAATGATATCTTTATGAAAGTATAGTTCTTTTCATGCATAAAGATTCGATCTTTCATAGGAAAACCACCACCTTGTAGTGACAAGGGTGGCGGCCATGGGTTTTAGGGGAAGGGAGGTTGCGGCCAAACCCTAGTTAGAATAGATAAAGTTGCAACCTTGGTGGATAAGGCCACCAAACCCTAGCCATAACCTAAGGTAGGCATGGCATCCCCTATGCATGATAAAGTTTTAATCTTGATTCATGATTTTTTCTAAACATCAAAAGTTGATATTTTTTCTTAAAGGTGATTCAATGATTGTTTAGGATTTTCAAATTGTTTACGTGTAAAAGAAGGGCTAAAGGATTTTCAAATATAAGGTGTGCCCATATATTGAATTTAATTGTGAAAGAAGGGCTAAAGGAAATTGATGATTCTATTTTGAGGATTCATGGTGCAGTTAAATACGTCAAATCTTCTACTTCCAGATTTGACCGATTCAATGAATGTTTTGAATTGCGAAAGATTGAGTATAATGGCTCAGTTTGTTTAGATGTTGAAACAAGATGGAATTCTACATATTTGATGTTAGAGGCTGCATTAAAACTGCGAAAGGCATTTGAGGAGCTTGAATTATCAGGCAAAAAGTATACTCGTGAATTAAAAAGGAAATGGTGCACCTACAGATGAAGATTGGGAACACGCTAGCTTGATTATACCATTTTTGAATATCTTCTATGAGTCTACTTTGAATATTTCCGGTACTTCATATGTTACCAGTAATCTATATATGATGGAGGTATTTGAAATTGGGATGAAGATTCGACAAATGTGTGACTCTAGTGATGCAAGTATAAGTCTGATGGCTGAAAGGATGAGAATGAAATATGATAAGTACTGGGGAAATCCTGATGGTCCATTGGAGAACTTTTCTTTTGTAGCGAGGCAATCGACTTGAAAGTAAAGCTAGAATCTTGTCTAAAGTCAATTTTCGATGAATATGATACTCAGGAAAAAGGATCTCAAGGTGATTCACAGGAAGCACAATGTGATAGTAAAGCTAAAATTCTTAGTCGGTATCGAAATAAATCTAGACGTAAGTAAAATGTCAAGTCCGAATTAAATAAGTATTTGGAAGAAGATTCAGAGGAAGAAGATTTGGATATTCTAACTTGGTGGAGGTTAAATTCAAATCGATTTTCGATTCTTTCAAACATTACAAGGGAGGTGTTAGCTATACTTAGCTTCTGAGTCCGCATTCAGTACTGGAGGAAGGGTCCTTGATTCTTATCTATATTTTTACTTGCTTTGCAGGTTCCATTTGATCAACAACCATTGAGCTTTGATTATTCGTAGAATTACTAGATGACGTTTAGGGGAGATTGTTTTCCATTTGGATGCAGAAGTCATTTTAGCTTTTAAAGATTTCAGATTTAGATACATTTTTTTTGTACTTTCGTAGACTCCTCTTCCTACTGTAGTCTATATTTGGTTTTCAAGTCTTGATGGTTGCAGTAAAGAGTTTGGTATTTGGCACTTTTGGTGGCATTCATGTTACACTAAACTGTAGTTGATTATTGGATTTAAAGTATATGAAGAGGTATAAGCAGTGGTTTTTAATACTTGGTTATTTTTAGGTAGCTTAAGTTCATTCTCTTTTAAGTTCATGCAAATCATCATTCTCCATTAAACCCTGATTAGCGAGAGAGTAGGAATAAGGGTAATCCTTATACATAATTTTTACCCTTGGATATTTGCAAAAGTTTTTTTTTTTTGAATTTGAACCCGTGACTCAAATAGTGATTTTATAATTTCATCATGCATACCATCCATTTAATTACATTTTGAATTCACTGGTCTGCATCCTATTCATTAAAAAAATTGTTATAAAACCGGTTTTAAACTTGATAACCGGTTTGTGGTTCATAACCGGTTTTGAATTAAAACCGATTTAAAATCGGTTTTAAATCAAAATTGGTTATGAACCATAAACTAGTTTTAAACCGGTTTGGACAAATCAAAAATTGATTTTTTTTTTAAAAAAAAGTGGTTCGGTCTAAAATTCAAACCGTTTAAAACTGGTTCGGTTCGGTTTTTGAAATAATTGAACCAAATCGCTCCATGCACACCTCTACTCTTAGCTGACTCGGCTGATTGTCTAAAAGGTATTATAGATAACTAGAATTTTAATCTTATAATTTTTTTATTAGGAGGTCATAAACTTAATTTCAGCTATACCCCCACCTGCAATAGAAGCTGGAAGTGACATGTTATGCTAGAAGGGTTTGAAACCGACGACATCCTTGGTAAAATAGGCTTATTTCAGTCTAATGAACTTTGAAAATCTTTCCTCTGATTTTCCTTGGAAAATAATTTGGAAGTGAAAAGGGCCTGAGAAATTTTAAATCCAGATTTGAAAATTATCTCATGGTAGATTCCTAACTAGACAACTTAAGGCAAAATGGGGTTCTAATTCTTATTGTTGCCACGATTGTCAAGACAAAATAGAAGATATTCTCCATGTGTTTAGAGACTGCCCCTAAGACTCTACAATTTGGAAAAGTTCTCTATTTTCCTATTTTCCCCTCTCTCTCTTTTTTCAAGAAAATCTAAAAATAAAGATATAGAGATTGGAATGACTTATTTTTTTACCTTTTGTTGGTTCATCTGCCTTTGGAGAAATAAAGATAGAATAACCCAAACTTTTAACAATTGATTATGTATGGTTATTATGGATATAAATAGAAAATTATGGAATTATATAGATAATTTATGTAATTTTACAGTAAATATGTTACGAAAACAAGAATTGATCTGTTAATCACCCGATTGATATGAAATTAATTATGAAAATACAATTCATGTCAAGCAAGTCAATTAGGACCCTTATAGTATTATTTAAAAAGTTCAGGGGTCAAAGTTTAATTATGTGAAAGTATAGGGACCATTTTGCAATTAAACAAAGGGATAGGATATTGTGACACACAAATAATGTTACGCACAATGTTACGACCACATCTTAACCGTTGATTTTCGTCAATCAACGGTTATCATTTTTCAAATCAAACTCATTAATTAATTATTAATTCGCAATAAATTATAACCGTTGATTGGCGGAAATCAACGGTTAAGATGTGGTCATAACATTGTGCGTAACATTATTTGTGTGTCACAATATCCTATCCCTTAAACAAAATAAGGTCTAAACTTGACTTAGATGATTTAATTAAATTCTTTAGAGAATTTCATGGGTTTAAAATGACCTTAGTTTGTTTTAATTATGATTGAAATAATTTAATTAATTAAGTCAAAGTGATGTAAATTCACAACCAATTAGAATGTTTATAAGTCAAGAATTGGAAAAGTTAACAATTATATGTCATAAGACACTTAAGTCTTTCTTTGTATAAGTACGTTATTTCTTCCTCCTTAAACCTCCATGGTGCTGTCATCATAAGGAAGCCAGAGGGATTGGTTTTTAAAGGTTGAAGTTCTTAGAGAAATATTAGCCAATAAGAATTTAAACTGAACCTTTAGCCATCACTGTTCCCCCGTACTCCGGATTAGTCTCATAGCTGGCTCAAAGAGTCGAAGCTCGTGGGGATACCGGAGGGAGCCAACTCGTCTCAAAGAGATAATTAGGGTTGGGTAACTCCAAAAAAAAAAAAAAAAAAGTCAACAAACTAATACCAAATGGTGGTAGCTCAGTTGGCGCATGGGAGCTAAGCAGGTGGGGATGAGAGCATGCATGTGTTCGAATCTCCCCAGTACCACCTTTGGGAGGAGTTTAAAGTCTTAATCCTAGACCCGCCCCGAATCGGATTAGTTGCAAAGCAATGAACCGATTGGAATATTTCCAAAAAAAAAGTCAACAAACTAATAGAAATGGATGACTTAGCTATTACATCTTATCCAAGTTGGTTATGTATCTTAGTGGGAGTCTTCTTCTCTAAACCACGGTGCCTTCGCTTTTTAAGGAACCAATTAGATGAGTGAAAAGCCAACAAAGTCAAGGAACCAATCAAAGCTAATGACTTGTTAATTATACGTACGCGGGATTATTAGGGATTATTGAAAAACTGAATTTTTTTAAATTTTTAATTTTCAGATATTATCGTAAACTGAATGTAAAAATCATATTTTTGAAAATTGAGATTCTCGGATAAAAAAAATTTCTCCTCTACCAAACGCCCTAACTATCCTTTCTTTAAAACACCAAAATCTACACTTTTTCTTGTCTAAAAACCGTGAACATGGTAAGAGAGTGAAAGCTTGAGAACTTGCTCGAGTCATTAAAATCAAAATACTATTAGAGAGAAAAATCTTCCTTGCAGCTTTGTGAGTACACCTATAGTTTCAAATCCTTGAAAGGAGCTTTGTGTGTTTTGTTTTCTCCTCTTATTCATGTGACTTCATGGCTGTGTTCTTGAGAAAAAGAATGATGATCTTGGCTTTTGGTTGAAGAATCAATCATCTAGTCATCTATAAGTGTTTTACGGTAATAAACCTATTTTCTTTTGATTCTTTCTTCTATGTTTCAGTTCTGAACATGGTGATTTAGAGCTGTTTTTTATGATGTTATGTCATTGATTAAATGATATGTATTGAGATTATATGAATAGAGTTGTTGTTGTTTGTTGGTTCTTGATGATAAATGGTAATTTTGTTGGTAAAAAATTAGGTTGTATAATAACCTCCTAGACTCTACATGTTTCGGCCCATGAGTGTAAATATAAGTAGGCTATGTGTTTGAATATTTGTTTATGTGAAATTGAATTCATAGTATGGTGAATTAAAGGTTCAAGTGATTGAAAAATGTAAAGGGTTTTTAAAAAAAATCATTGAAACCTAAAGAGCCAAATCTGCTCTGTTTTTGCAAAATTCATATCTGGAATTATAAAACTCCAAATTGAGTGTGGTTTGTTCCAAATTAAATCTGCACATGTCTAGTATAACATACTAAAATTTCAAGGCAATCGGATATGAAATAGATTTTTTGTGAATTAAATGGTGCGGACTATCCAAGTTGAAACTATGTTACTATTTCGGCCATAATGAGGAAAAAGGGCTTGGAAGCTTGTTGGCTTATATTTTAAGGATGTTTGGTGCTAAATAAATGTATTAGAATGAAATGAATTAGTTGATTCATTAGTTGAAAGCATAGAATGGTTATTGACACTTTATGTGTTTATTGAGTATAAAAATTGAAAATAAAGTTAAGAGTTGTTTTGAGTAGTCTTTGATGAAGAATGGAATGCATGAAATGCATGGTAACCTTGCCAGTATCGTTATGATCTAAATATTGTTTTAATTCAATTAAGTGTTTGATTGTATAAATCAAGAAAAATTAAGTGTATGTTATGTATGGTGAATGTGAAAAACTAAGTTAACCTATGGGTTAAGTGAATTAGGTTAAATGTGTTAATATGTAAGACTTTAAGTATATGTCTAAGTTTGAGTATTGACTTGTGAATTAGTATGAATTGGCATGATTTGGTATGTACATAAGAGGATTCTTCAAGTGTAAGTAATTATGCATTGACATAAATATCATATTTAAATAGGTGATTTTGACGGTTATGGATATACGGATAACTTTAGTGACGTATGAGCAGGATTTACAGAAAAGCTAGTTTCAGGTAAGCTCTTAGTTTCGGAGTTTTCTCCGGTATGTTGTTCCACCATAGTCCATTTGGATGATAGTTCGTATGGTATATGTTGTGATAAATGTGGATATATAGTATAGTTGCATTCATGTAACTCATGCATATGATATGATATGAAACAGTTATGATATGATATGATATGATAGTTATGATATGACATGATATGATATGTATTTATGATGTATGGTTCTTGATCAATGAACACTCCTTTGAGAACTTACGTTCTTGGAGATTAAGTATGGACTGGTCAAAGTGAGAAATCATGCTTTGGGAGTTCATAGATTGGTCAAAGTGAGAAATTGCGATTTGGGAGTTTTATGTTATGTTATATGATGTTATGATATGATAGGAATAGTATGAAGTAATATGATATATTGCTATGTGATAGGTTATAAGAGAATATGTTATGTTATAGTACGTATAGGTTTAGAGAGTACAAGTGTGGACTCCTTTGCGGGATATAGCCCCTGGGAGTATATGTTTATGTTAAGATCTTATTTGTGGGATGTAGCCCCTGAGAGTATAAGTATAGATATATGTTATGATCTTCTCTGTGGGATACAGCCCCTGGGAGTATAGGTATCGATATAGGTTAAGATCTCATACAGCTCCTGGAGTATAGTTCCAGAAGTCTTATGTATGTGTATGATTATGTGATGTCTTCTATGCTATATTATCTGACATTTATGCAGGAAGTGAATTCATGGGTGAAGACTACTCCATAAACCCAGAGTTTACTAAGATGGTTAATCTCACCCCGTCTAGGGACTTACATTTCAGGTACTATAGATGCAATAGAGGCCTTACAGGGCAAGAGACCAGTTCAGGATGGCTAGAGATATTAGCTGGAGCAGATAGCTAGTGTAGCATTCTGGAGCATCATTATATAAGTATATGTTTTGTTAAGCATGATATGTTATGTTCATGCATATGCACAGTGTAACGCCCCGTTCTAGAACCGGTTTGTTAACATCGCATTATGATATTAAGCGCAGTTACAATCACATGGGTTCAATTAAAAATCCGGATAAATTTTTCATTTTAAAACGTACCGAACTTATAATACCCATTTTCGTGATCATAACCATATTACCTTGCGGAAACAGATAAATTAAGCTTAACATTATGTTCATTTTCCATTTTTAAACCATTAATTTACTTCTTATTTAGTTCACATCTTCTACTATATTGTAGGTTTCTTCATTAGCTACCTGTGGCTTCAAACCGTGCTCAAATCGGAGCACTGTAGCCCAAGTTAGGACAATTTGAAGCAACACAAGAGAGTGTTGGTCACAGGCCCCGCGCGCTTCAGCGCGCTACCGGGCTCTCAAGCGCGCGCTATCGGGCGCTAAAGCCGACCTGGGCGCTTAAGCGCACGGAGGCAGGAAGCATCAGGTATTTCAGTGTGAATGGGCGCTTAAGCGCGCATCAGGGCGCTCAAGCGCGCTATCCTGGGCGCTTCAGCTCCCATTGGGACGTTTTAGCGCGCAGAGACAGAAGCATCTCCTCCTTCAGTGGCTAAGGGCGCTCAAGTGCGGACCAGGGCGCTCAAGCGCGCAACCCTGGGCGCTAAAACGCGAGGGGACAGTAAGCATCCCAACTTTCTGCAGCAAAGGGCGCTTAAGCGCACGCCAGGGCGCTCCAGCGCGCAATCCTGGGCGCTTAAGCCCCCACTTGGGCGCTCCAGCGCGAGGAGGCAGAATGCATTGGCACTCGCAGGGGCAGCAGGGCGCTTGGGCGCGCTCCTGGGCGCTTAAGCGCGCTGCCAGGGAATTCCAATTCCCACATTTTTCAAGTCCAAGCCTAGGGGAAGATGCATCCCCATTACAAACCCCAATTATCCATGCCCCAAACTAAATCCTAGCACTCATCCAACCTCTCCTCATGAGATTTAGCTAGAATTTAAGCAGCATGACCTTTGTTTTCTCATCGTTTACCAATTTAAACAAAGGGTACCTAATTGATTTTCAGCCCAACCAATTCAACAACTTAATACATAACAAGCATGCATATATTGAATTTCAAGTAGACATCATTTACATTACATATCCTTTACAAATCGTAGAACTTAGCTTACAAAACACTATGATCATTCCCTTGGCTCCCATCAACAAAAGGTGTAACCAAAGGCATGAGCATAGGCTAAGTTCATCCAATGAATCAAGATATACAAATGACCATGGGCTTTCAAAATAAAATCCTATACATGTCAACTACAAAAGGCATGCATAAACTCAAAAGAAATGCCACATTTCATGCATAATCCAGATATGGCCACTTGCCACCAGAGGCTCCTGCAGCATCCTTACCTGAAAGGGGGTCCCCACAACACGGGGTGAGATATACGAATATATCCAGTAAACCAGGGGTCCTTGGAGCATCTCTCCACCCCACAGTTCCATATCAGTGTAATAGCAATAACAATAATAATGCAGTAAATACATATCTATGCAAAGTGCTATACATCTCCAGGAGAACTCCCTCGAGCTCTCAAGCTGTCCTAAGGAAACTCAGATGCAAATAGTCCTACTGGCCAGCTAACTACCAAGTATGATTTACGCATCGTCATGCAACATACCACATAGGGAAACACCATCTTATGCCACACCAAATGCATACACATACATATAACAAAGCATTACACTATTTCATTGCATTTATATACACTATAATTACCACTACCCTTTCAGGGCTTGGTGGAACAATCAAGGGAATTACACCCAAGGTCCGAAGGCTTACCTCAAGCTTCAATTCGACCTTTGTTCACCACCAATGTCAACAATACTCTACTCCAAAACCAACACCTACACATAGTGTAATGCAATCAACACATTGCATCCAAGAGTATTTCACAATCAACCATCAACTACTCAATTCAAGACACAACACAAGTATGAGCTTACCAATTACAATGAGCTACCCAAGCTCCATAGCTTGTTCAAGCGGTTGATCACTCACGGTCGGTCCAAATGTCTCAATCCTAGACATCATTAGGACACAATCATCAATCAACCAAGTCATACCATTCATCAACAATGCAAGAAATCCAATATCAAGCATCATATTCTTGCCATTTTACAAGTATACTCATTTAGCTATCTAAGCTCATTTTCACCGATTAAATGATATTCCTAGCATTTTCCATAACATGCTCTAAGCTCCATTCTTCCTAGAACATAGCTAATTTAACAACATTTCATCAAAATCCCTAAAACACTATTCATAAACCCGAACTCATGCAAATTTCAAGGAATCATGAGGTTCAAGGGTTAGAATCTTACCACCAAGGGTCACACAACAATGATGTGAGTGCTCCTCAAGCTCCCATGGAGGTAGAAGCCACCAAAACTCCAAAACCTCTCCAATGGCCGAATTTTTTAGAGGCAATATCCCTCTCCACAATGCTCCCCACTCAAAACAAAGCAAGGATTATGAAAGAGGAGGAGATTTGGAGTGGTTTAGGCCTTTGAACGGATGGATTTGGTTGAGATTTGCTTTCTCTCTCTCTCTTTCCCTTTTCTTCTTCCCTCTCTTCTCCCTCTCTTCTCTTCTCCTTTCTGTTCTGCGTCGACGGGCTGGGTGGGAAAAATGGGGATTCTTTTGTGTTTTTAAGTCACTTACTTGGTTAAGTGACTTATGTGGGTATTGGTTCGTCTATCTATTCAACTCCAATAATTACCAAACTTTACCCAAAATTCTGAAATATTATTCTAGGAATATTACTATTTTTATTTTTATATTTTGGGTACTTTTGCCAGTACCCATTTATACCCCTTAATTTTCACTGAGTACACTTTTTAACTCCAAAGTGACTCAAATTCATTTAATTAAGCCTTATACTTAATTTCACTCACTAAAACATGTTTAATTAATTAATTACACTAGATTTACTAATTAATTAAGTTGGGCTATTATACACAGTATGGAATCCCATTTTGAGAGATGTATGTAGCCTATAGATAATTGTATACAGATGACCGGATTATGTATAAGCGTGTATATTGCTAAGTAGGTTGATATCCGTAGTGACACAGAGCCATATTATGGTATATATGTATATATATGGATTGGACTTTTCTGTTTATCAGGTGTTATGTACGATAGTAGGATTTGATCCCTGGATTAGTCCAATTTATAGCTGTTATGCTATTCGTAAAGACTATGTTCGAAATGATATCTATTACCATATTTGAATAGTGATTTGATTATTAATTATGGTCACTGGCTTATTAGGTATGGATGCTATGCAGGTACGGGACTGTATAGATTTTGTTATATTGAAAAAAAAAATATGCACAGGGATACGTAAAGATAAATTAAAAGGAAAAAGTTAAGTCACTTTGTTACTCGAGGTAATGGTGATACTTTTACGTTAAGTCTTCCGCTAAAATAATTAATTATGACAAGTTTTGTAACTATATGTATGTTAACAAATCGGCTGCAAACAGGGTGTTACAAAAGACATCCATGAAAGTGATTTTCAAAGACTTGACAACGAAGTGAGTTTGATCCAAAAGGCTATTGATGATATAAATATGGCTTCCCGAAGAACTCTGAGCAAAGATATCCTTTGCAACTAGACTAACTCAATTTCACATTGGGTTCGTCCTCAACATGGTTGGATGAAAATTAATGTTGATGGGGCAATGTCTTTTAACAAGGAAGCTTGTGGAGGCCTTATTCGAAATTCTGTTGGAGATTGGGTTGGTGGATTTCAAGCTTTTCTGAGTTTTCGTTCTCCTCTACAAGCAGAACTCTAAGTAATCCTCCATGGGTTAGAATATGCTTGGCACCTTAGTCTTTCTACAGTTATAGTTGAGAGCGACTCATCTCAAACTATTAACTTGCTTACCTCCTTTGATAATGAAGCTCAAAAACTGCCCCAATTAATTAGGATTCGAGCACATCTAGACAAGAATTTGTAAGCTAAATTTTCATTTGCTAACAGAGAGAAAAATACTTGTTCAGAGAAAAAATGCATTAGCCAAGCCACAATGTATCTGCTGCATCTCTTCCCCCTCTGTTAAGCCATAGAAGCTGCTGTTGTTGGATTTACAGGATTATGCTAGTAATTCTTTTGTAAGAGACCCTGACTAGTTGGGGTTCAATATTAGTGAGTTCTTGTGTTCAAAAAAATATATTAGTGAGTTGTTTTGTAATTGTTTTTTTCTTTGTTGTTGTGGGCCGTGGCGGAGCCAGCAAAGCATTTTAGCTAGTGTCAAAAGATTTAGTCGGTTCCAAGATATCTACAGTTATATAGTTACGTCCAAAATGTGGCTAATTTTTTAAAAATTTAAAATGTAATTTGCTGCATTTATTTAACTACATTTAAAATGTGACTAAATTAATTAGTGCCAAATTACCTGCAGACACCAACGCCGCTCCGTCATTAGTTGTGGCACTATGCCCCTTTATGTGTAACAAGAAAAAAAGAGAGTAGCTTATCCCCACATTTGAGTATTTTAGGGATTGATGCTTCGCAGTTTGTGACACTCAAGGTAGCACTAGCATATCCTAGTTAAATAATATTTTCTCCCTCTAGATAATTGTTTAAAGAATTGAATTCGTGCTGATTGAATCATGACCTTGTTTGGAACTATCCTTTTCCTCTACAAGAACTGCAGGATAAGAACAGCAACTTAATTGAGACACAAACCACCAAGTTGCCTCAAACTTGGGACAGAAAAAACATGGTAGTGAAGGTGTATGGTCCAACCTATGCCTCCCCAAAAAGGGTCCTTGTGTGTTTGATTGAGAAGGAAATTGAGTTTGAAACAGTCCCTGTTGATATCTTCAAAGGAGAGCATAAGGATCCTGAGTTTCTCAATTTGCAGGTTCATTTTTTTTTTTTTTTAAAAAAAAAGAAATATTTCCATTTGATCTTTTACTTTACCACACTGTTTGCCTTGCTGGGTTTTGATATTGTTTTTCATGTACCTGTTTCTCATAAATATGCAGCCTTTTGGAGTGCTTCCTGTTATTCAAGATGGTGATTATACTCTCTATGGTTAGCCACTTAGACCCTTTACTATTTTCTGAAACTTTTTGGCATGTAGTCAAGGATTGGTGATTTTGATATTTCTCCTTTTATATCAGTCACCTTGTGAGACCTTACAGCTTACTGATATGGGTGTTTCATACTTTATAGATCAACATTTTAGATTGAGTTATGAGGTTTGAACTGTTCATACATGCCCTGCATCTTTTCCTTTCCTAATCGTGATTCCTGTGGTTTATAACGAAGCAAAGATGGTTATAGTTAAGTTAATCCCTTTAATGGATCGTTTATAAAATAAAAAAGTGTTTGATACAATTTATTGGCACAATTTAATTGAAGGCCTAGTTTCCAAAATTTTATTTCTTTCCTATTTGCTAATGTAATAAATAGTAATGTAGAATAATTTATTTAGTCTAATACACTGATTCTAAACCATTTCTGCAGAATCTCGTGCAATAATCAGATACTATGCAGAAAAGTATAAAGACCAAGGGACAGACCTGTTGGGGAAGACAATAGAAGAAAGGGGTCTTGTGGAACAATGGCTTGAAGTGGAATCCCAGAACTTTCACCCACCATTCTTCAACTTAGTTATGAATGTTCTGTTTGCCCCATTATTGGGTGTTCCTTCAGACCAAAAAGTGATTGAAGAGAGTGATGAAAAGCTTGGCAAGGTGCTGGATATTTATGAGGAGAGGCTATCAAAGACCAAGTACTTAGCTGGTGATTTCTTCAGCCTTGCTGATCTTAGCCATCTCCCAATTGGTCATTATTTGGTGAATCAAACTGGGAGAGGGAATTTGGTAAGTGAGAGGAAGCATGTGAGTGCTTGGTGGGATGATATTAGTAGCAGACCATCTTGGAAGAAGGTTCTACAGCTATACAAATACCCTGTCTAGCTGCTTATCTATTTCCTGCTTGAGACTTAAAATAGAGCATATCTGCAAGATGCAGACCTTTTGATGGTTTTCTAATTTGCTTTTGCTTTGTATATAAAAAGCTTGGTGTGAAAGGTAATCTTAAGAGCCTTTTAAGTTGAGAAATAAGAAGAAAAAAATTTAATAATTCCCTGTGATGTTTAGATCTTGAACTAAATACAAGAGTTAGGATCAAATCATGATTGTCCAAATTTCATTTATAACTGAAATTAAAAAAAAAAATATCTTAATAGGATTTTCAATAATTTTATTTAAATTAGTTAATTTGAAAATTAGTATTTGAAAAGTATTAATCTGCTTAGAAATTTAATTATGAATAAAAAACAGTGGAAACATAATCTCATTAAGTCCTTGTATATTCATAAATTGGTTATTATAAAATTAGTCGGTAAGCTATTGATTAATTCCGAAATATTTATTTTATTCCTTAAAATAAAAATAAAGTCAAATGAACTAAATTAAACACAATTATTTAAAAAATTCATTTATAAAAAATTATTCTAGGCTTGACAGGGAATTTCAGTTCCTAGATATCCGTTAGGTAGTGTTTGGTTCGGATGAAATTTTGTAATACTAGGGAAATGTAAATACTAGAGATCTGCAAGGAAAAATAATATCCTATATTTGATATGTAATGATTAGCACGGATCTTGAATAATTCATGCTTCTTACCACAGTACGGATGTTCACACCTGTAAGAAAATCACTCAAACTCTTTATTCTCGCTCAACAATTTGGACTAACTTTTTTTAATTAAAAAAATGGTGTTGGACTAAGTTATCTTCGCCTATGCAAGACTTTTTAGTGTGAGAATGAATAATAACTCTTGTTGCAAGCCTCTGGCTTCGTTTAAGTTATATATTTAATTGAGACCATAAAATTCCATGACATGCTTTGAGGATCAAGCCTTTTGCCGCACGGTGTTCCAATATGTTTTAGATTGATACCTTCTTGACAACCTATTGATCAGACAAATAAAAATGTGTTGTATATAGAGAATTAATGGTTATAGTACAATTCTTCTCAGTATCAGTACTGCCAATATGTTCCAATATGCTTTATGAATACAGTAGTTATCATTCCCATGAGAAGCAGCATTAGGCACAAAATTACAAGATACAGAAAACTACTAATAATTAAAATCAGAAACCAGGTGCATTATAATGACAGTACACTTGCAAAAAAACTCCCTCTTAAATCTGTTTCTAACATACATGACGATACACCTACATGAACAATTAGCACTATTGAGACAGCATTAACTATGCTTGTCTGCTGACCCTATAGCTGGTCTATAACCAAAAATTACAACATAGTGGTATATACATCATCCAAAAAATCATAGTGCTAAACCATTAACAGTAAGGCAGTAGCACAACAAGTACCAAAAAATGTGAGTACCACAGTCACACATAAACAGAATGGCAGTAGTTAGGCCTCCATTGACAAGCTATCACTTTGAAGGTATAATTATTGTTCGAAATTTGCCAACAACCCAGCAACCAGGCACCTTCTATTTACCTCACTACTTTGCATGAAAATATCAGTCATACTACTGTCCTTGCCCAGTATCACACCTACATGAACCCTCTGAGGCACGGTCAGTTCATCATATTTGTCTAGCTCATCCATAATTGACATTCTTCTATTGCTACCATCTGCTTGGTGTTGAAAGCAAGACACCAATTTGTCGATGCTCTCAGTTGAAGGACAATAACACAACACCAACTGAAGCAAACAAATGCATTACAAAATCATAACAAAAAAAAAGTTAAATTATATTTTTTAAAACCATTGTAGAAAACAGAAACCAGCTCCTTAATTATGGGCCAACAAGGGAACTTGTTGACAAAAGAACCTATTCAGTGATGAACTAAAAAAATCACTTCTTTTTAAGGTTTGAGTAGGTTGGGGGGTGTCAGCTTTTTGTTCATCATATCCAATTGTGTATGTTGGAGGATTTTATTTGTTGACTCTCTCTTTAAACTATTGCAATGCCTAGTAATTTTGTCAACACTGCTCCTTTCAAGTTTTGACATGATGTATGTTCAGTATCGATGCCAATCTGATATCAAATATGCAATATAAGGAGTGGAATGTAGGAAATTCCTTTAATGGTTTCTGATTTTGGATTTTGTGCTTAATGCAAGATATCACTGCAATAGTTTTTTTCAAATGTTATGTTAGGAGGAGATTGAGATCGAGGCCAGGGCTTTTAATTTAACAGGATCTTCCGTATAAAGCTCAATTAAAAAATAATACTTCTTTCTGAAAATCATAATGAAAAGAAAAGTTAAGGTATCAAGGCAAAATCCAAATTTTAGCAGCGACTTCAGCAACAATAACTTCCACTAAATTCAACATCACTACACCTACACCATACATAACTCCTACATGCAGGCACACAACATAACAAAATGGGAACAAGTTGAGCAATGAAGCTCACAAATACTTGCTTAATAACATCAACCAACACATTCCTAAAGAGGGCAAAACAAAACTCACGTTACAGGTACTAAAGAGAGGAACCCAAGAAAACAACACATTTCGTATCAACATTAGCAATACCTTTCATATCCAGGAACCCAAAAAAATATACAAATTGAGGGACTAAAGAGAGGAAAAAATATAGTAATACAAATATCAAAGCTATGCAAAATAAATATGAAAACTCCCCTTTCTGAACCGTTTGCCACATACATGTACCAACATAAATAAATAAAAAAATAGAAATTATTTAACAAGCTCAACCAAATACAAACTAAATCTGATGGAATCGTATGATAAGGCAATGGTGTGTAGCCACTGTAACAAATCATGTTTGCAAGTACCAACCACTCTTAAACAGAGACGATGACTCCAAATGCTATGTATAGTCTTACCAGAATATTGTGACGAAAATAAGAGGATCCCTTGTATGAACGAAAACAAATCGGGCGCTGGTCTTCAAACCAGCAGCTTGTACTTCGCGCTAGATCCGGTTCAATATAACATATTCTCTTCTTTCACTAGCTAAACAAAAGGAACGTGCTACGAAAGACAACAAACTTTTAGACGCTTTTCCATAATAACTACAGACTAAACTTGATTCCAAAAAACACAAATGTTATCATTACCTGATAACCGAACACAATCATCTGGGTTTCCTCAGTCATAGTGAGGTTTGGGTTTCAGAGCAGCACAACAGAACAAATATGGAACGCGATAGGGATGTTCGGTCCAAGAATCGAAGCCAGACTGGTGTTCGAATTTGGGGTACAGTTGGGATAAACAGGGGTAAACTTGTCTTATTTTTCATCTTCACTTTCCATCAAAACGGATTTCTCCGCAATACCATGGTGGGAGAGGCAAGAGAATCTGTGATTTTCATCCATTTTTCACTTTGATCACGATAGCTAGGCAAGGAGGAATGATGGATAAGACGAACGTTGTCCTCAACCAAATGTGGTGTTTTAAGAAACCCACTTACACTTAGATGAGATTATTTTCATATGTCCCGAACCAAACACTGTCTAAGTATAATGAGAAACTCGAAGTTACCTTATTCTTTTACAAATATTTGTCGATTAGTTAATTTTAGATTTAAAAATGTTAAAAGACTTATTTTCAAAATAATAAACCCACAGGGTCCAAGATAGCATTATTATACATATATCCTTATAGAATATACAACACTTAAATTGTCAATGATAAAAATAAATTTGTAAATTGTTGCATGGATTAAAAGTTTTAAAATGATATTAAATAATTGAAGATAACTTTATTTATAAGAAATTTTGAAAAATATTTTATTTTGAAACTAAATCCATTTATATAGAGACTAATATACCATGATAGTGTGAAGACTGAAGACACTTATGAAATATAGAACTTTCCAAAAGACGAACTAAACAAAAACCGACGTAAATCAGAGCACGGATTACAAATTTGGGATAAAATTTATTAAATAATTAAAAGGCTAATTTTTTAATATAAAAAATTTCTAAAAACATTTTTCGTTTAGAAATAAATCTACATTATATAGAGTATAAGATAATATGGACATATAAAAACCGTTACAATGCATATAATATTAGAGATGACGAATCATATAATCTAACATCATAAGTCTTCGGATGCATTAATATTTTTTTAATTTTTATTTTTATTAAAATCAATAATGAAATATAAAATTAATTATTTTCAAAGAAAAATAATAATCATCCAAAGACGAGAATTAACACAATACATATGATATGTTAGAGTTATAACATATCATCGAGTAGAGCAAGCAAGCTAAACAAATAATAAGTTAAATTCAATCAAAATGAACTAACAATATATTTAAAATATAACTAGCAGATCTTATATGACAAATTTTACAAAGCTGTTCTTCAAGAAGATGAAAGTACCAAATTCAAAAACAAACCAGAGTTCCCTATCATGCAGATGGACTCTATTTTATTCTCAACAAGGTAAAATATAACACATAAGGCACTTCCCTCAAAGCAAATCTCTTCTTGGGGTGGTTGGAATGTCAAGCACAAGTGGAACTAATTAAGCAGCTAGACAGGGTATTTGTATAGCTGTAGAACCTTCTTCCAAGATGGTCTGCTACTAATATCATCCCACCAAGCACTCACATGTTTCCTCTCTCTTACCATATTCCCTCTTCCAGTTTGATTCACCAAATAATGACCAAATGAGAGATGGCTAAGATCAGCAAGGCTGAAGAAATCACCTGCTAAGTACTTGGTCTTTGATAGCCTCTCCTCATAAATATCCAGCACCTTCCCAAGCTTTTCATCACTCTCTTCAATCACTTTTTGGTCTGAAGGAACACCCATTAATGGGGCAAACAGAACATTCATAACTAAGTTGAGGATTGGCGGGTGAAAGCTATGTGCTTCAACTTCAAGCCATTGTTCCACAAGACCCCTTTCTTCTATTGTTTTCCCCAACAAGTCAGTCCCTTGGGATTTATACTTTTCTGCATAGTATCTGATTATTGCACGAGATTCTGCAGATATGGTTTAACACCAGTGTATTAGAATTAACATATTATTCTACATTAGCAAAAAAATAAAAGAAATGAAATTTGGGAAAGTTAGCCCTCAATCTTTCACATTGAGGGCGAGACTCAACACTAGTAAAGTTACTCCTTTGTGACCGAAAGATCCAGGGTTTAAATTCGGAAAATAACTTATTTTCAAATATGTAAAGATAAGGCTACTTACCAGGATTGCCCTCACCATTACTATCACTAATTCGGGTTTAACGAGAAGTGATTTTGCTGTATGGATTTGAATCGCGAAAAAAATCTCTTTGCAAATATATAAGGGTGAGACTACGTAAAAAGATTACCTCCCCACCCTCACTAGTCTGGGTTGAAGGAGGAGTGCTATTGATTCAATCACGCCAATAAATTCTATCAAAAACCTTTTTTCTTTTGACAAAAAAAAAGGACAATCTAAAGAAATGGAGTAACTTAATTATAATCCTCTCTGCCTCTTTATAAAACACAGGAATGATGATTAGGGAAGGCAAAGATGCAAGGCAAGCATGAACAGTCATATCAGTAAGGTCTAAAGTTTGAAACACCCCACAACTCAATCTCACATCTCGATCTAAAGTTTGAAACACCCATATCAATAAGGTCTCTCTGCAAGGTGGATGACATAAAAGGAGAAAAATCCAAATCACAAATCCTTAAGTACATGGCACAAGATAAAACAAATTGAAAAAAATAGTAAAGGGGCTAAGTGGCTAACCATAGAGAGTATAATCACCATCTTGAATAACTGGAAGCGCTCCAAAAGGCTGTAGATTTATGAGAAACAGGTATGCAATGAAAATAAAATAAAATAAAAATAAAAATCTACAAACCCAGTGAGGTAAGAAGTGTTGTAAAGCAAAAGAACAAGTGAAAAAAAGAAAGAAAAAAAAAAAGAGACTGAACCTGCAACTTGAGGAACTCAGGATCTTTGTGTTCCCCCTTGAAGATATCAACAGGTACCGTTTCAAACTCAATTCCCTTCTCAATCAGACACACCATAACCCGTTTTGGGGAAGCATAGGTTGGGCCAAACACCTTCACTACCATATTTTCTATAGATATTTGCTACCTACAATATTCAGGAGTTGTTTTAGTTTGTCCGTCCTCTGGGTCATGTTGTTGCATATTATATAGGGTGTGGAAAAGGAAATGGAGTGGGTGGTCAATCAACGTCAATTCAATTCAACGGTACTTGTTTAAAGCGAGAGAAAATTTAATGGGTTAAAAGTTACGAAAAAATGTTTTCATATTTTATTTTATTTTTTATTTTATTTTTTCACTTTCTCTTATCATAATCTTTTTTTTTACTGAAAATGATATAATTATACATAGTTTAAAATGATACATATATTTTTCTAAAAGTTATAATTATAATTATATATTATCCTTAATAAATAATTATAAATTGTTAAAAGAATAGGGTTGGGTTTGAGAAAGCTTTCAACTATGAATGAGGCTTTTTTGAAAAAACTTCTTTGGTCTTTCCTTAACAATCCTGATTAATTGTGGGTTCAAGTTCTTAAGGCTAAATATGGCAAAATGGTAGATGGTCGCTATGTTTGTTGCTGGAAAGATGGTAATTCTCACCTCTAGAAATACCTTTGTGAAATTTGGCACAGGTTGAAAGATAAGCTAATCTAGGATGTAGGAGATGAGAATATGATCAGATTTTGGGAGGATAAGTGGTTAGATCATGAAGACATTTTAGCTAATAGAGCTTTAGTTCCAATTTCTCAAGAAGATATTGGAAAGAAAGTGTGGGATTACATTTCTGAAGAAGGTGATTGGGATGTTGAGACTCTTGCTAGCTTACTTCCTTCTGTGATAATTCAAAGGATTATGAGTATTCTTCCTCCTCATTAGTCTAATGGAGAGGACAGATTACATTGGTATTTGAATGATCCAAAAGGAGCTACAGTCAAGAACATATACAATGTTTTAATGAACCAGGAAGAAATCTTAACTCAGAGGGATGAATCAGTCTCCTGCTCTGCAAAATAGCTCACCATCCTCTTCCAACAAGGACCTGGTTAGCTAAGATGAATTTAGCCCCACCCACCTATCCCTTTTGCCATCTTGAAGATGAATCTTTAATTCATATGATTAGAGATTGTGTTCAAATCAGAGAAGTCTGGAAGAAGCTGTTGGGTCCATATTTGGTTAATAATTTTTTCAATTTGGATCTGGATGACTGGTTGTTATTGAATATGAAGTATGATGCTTATACTTGTTTCAATTCACCCTGGAACTTTGTTTTTGCAATAACAGTTTGGTGTGCTTGGTATTGGAGAAATAGTATTGTTCACGGTAATCAGGTAGATAGACTAGCCCATAAATATCAAGCTATTGAACAGAAAACTGCTAAGTATTCTCTTGCTTGGTTAAATAAGCCGAATATGAATCCTATAAGGGAGAAATCGTGCAATTTGATAAGATGGATTCCTCCAGATGAAGGCTGCATAAAAGTCAATACAGATGGGGCAGCTAGAAGAGGTTCTAGAGGATCTGCTTGTGGTGGGATTTTAAGAAATAATACCGGTCATTGGCGACAAGGCTTTGCGTATCATATAGGCAACTGTACAGCTTTTGTAGCTGAGTTATGGAGAGTCCTCAAAGGTTTGGAGTTTGCTTGGGATAGTGGTTGGAGACGTATTCTTTTCAAAAGTGATTCAAGTTCTGTTATCACTTTGCTCACCAATAATGGAGGACCAGTTCGAGAGTCTCATCTAGTGACTCGCATTCGAACATGGTTACAAAAAGACTGGAAAGTTAGACTAATTCATTCATACAGAGAGACTAATGCATGTGCGGATTGGTTGTTTAAATACCCTTTAGATCATCATCTAGATAACAATTTGTGTATTTTCCCCTTTCCACCTGCTGGTGTTTGGCCGTTGTATTTGGCTGATTTTTCTTCTGTTTTATGGATTCATAGATTTGCTGTGAGTTGATCTCTGCGGGTGTTTGTTACCTTGCAGACTACCAAAAAAAAAAAATCATTTCCCCAAATTTATTAGTATTTAATATCGTAAAAGTAAATCCAAAATGAAATACCGAAGGTCGTAAAATGAGAAAATCATCACCATAGAGAGTGTAATCACCATCTTGAAGAACATAATGAAATTCATGATATGAGAAAATAAAAATTATTATCTCAATTTTTTTTATCAAATCACTTTTTACAAACTTAATTATCATCAATAACAATTGTTAGAAAAGAAATTTGTTATGAAGAAAACATGAAGATAATTACATATATTTTTTAAAAAATTATAATTATAAATTCTTAACATAACTGTGAAACGAAAATGGACAATGATTATACAAATATTTTATTTGAAATTAATTTTTATAAAAGAATTAATGTTGTATTATGAATATAAATAAATAATATGAATGTAAATAATTTTTTTTGTAAAACATTTTTGTGATTTATTGCAGAAATTGTTTTTCATCACAAAAATGAATAGGTCGCTTTCTCAATAAACGTAGCGCCTTGTCTCTGTCATATTCTGAGTTAACTTTGTTGCTTCTTAGACGAGATTTTGTGTAGAATGATGGGGAAGTAGAGTGGAGAATGTTTTTTTTTTCAGTGTTTGGTATAAGCTATCATGATTTATTGCAAGCAAAAAATATATCTCATTAATCCCCATTTGCACTAAGAAGTGGAAAAAAACTATCTCCCCCAATCTATGGTATTTATTTTTTCATGTGTACAGCGCATCTTTCAGGCTTTGAATCGCTTTCATCGGTAAAATGACATCCATATCCATGGACACCAAAGGCGGCTTCCTAGCCGGAGAAAGTACAGTGAAGTCTACAGAGCCCTGATCAGTTCTATCGAAGCCGATCTTGCTAATCGCGAACCCCTCGTCTTTACTAAGAAGAGAAACAGTTTTCTCGTCGCTTCCGGCACTGCTAAAGAGCCCTTCCCGAGCATTTCTGCGAGTTGATTCTACACCTATTTCTGGCTATTTTCTGCCATATGATTCTTCTTGTAATGAATTCAGGTATGAAAATTGATAATTTGTAATTTATATTAATTTTTTCATCTATATTTTACAATCAACCAAACGCATCATCATTAAAATTAAGCATATTTTCTCGGTAAAATTTTGACCTACCAAACAACTTTTCGTTATTTTTCAGAGCTAAATTATTTTCCACTATATTATCAGAAATTTTTTTTTTCCAGAACAAAAAAATTATCTCTGATACCAAACGTTCTCTTATAGTGCGTACCTAAACTAAAGGAAATAAAGTTACAAAGAGTTCACTATTCAATGTCACAAAGAGGTCACTATTCAATTTGGTTCTATCCTCGTATATTATTTTTGGGAAAAATTTAAATATTTTTATTTTTGATTGTCCTATATTCTGAATTAGTCCATAGTCGACTCAAAAAGTTAAAGTTTGTATAAAAATATATCATCATTATATAAAAAATTGATAGAGACAATAAAAAAGACAATAACTATTTTAATTATTGACTTGGATATAAATTTGTATAAAAATCTAAATGAACTCATAAATATAGAATGAAATCTATAGAGGAAAATAATTTTAAAAAATCTTTAATTAAAAGTAAAAATAGCTTTCGCATAAATAGAATATTATTATCGCGATGCATTATTTAATATTTTAAAATTAAATGACTAAAATGAAACTCATGAAAGTTTGTAAATGACTAAATGACTGAGATAAATGTTTTTTTAATGGCATTTAATATTTTAAATGAGGCAATTAATTTGTTACATTGGAAAATGTCAACTCTATAAATGGGGCATCTGTTAAACATTTATGAGATTCATAATGTTGCGTTATTATAGTGGATTTGAAAATCTTGATTGTTTTCAAATGACATCAAATATATTAAAAGAGGTAATGAATCTAATGAATTAGAATAGAAAATTAATTAATTCTTACAATTAATTGATATTTTTCATTGGCAAAGAGGACCTATGTGAGAGTGAAAATTTTAATTATAAAGTAGAGGAAAGTGTGCCACGTGACTACTACCAAAACGTGTGATATACTATTTAAATGCAGTGTTTTAAAACCCTCCCTCATTCCGAGGTCGACCCCTCTGGGTCACTGAGAGTTCGAGTTAGTAGTTAGACCCTACTTGCACGTTGACTCCTCTAACTTCCGAAACCTTCCGGTTGAACCCTTGACTCCCGAGTTAGAGGGGTCAAAGGGGTCACTGCATTTTTTCTATTTAAAAAATGATGTCATTTAATTTGTAAACAAAAAAAAAAAAAAAAAAAACTGGTTGCTACCTAAATTTAGAACTAGATATATATGAAATCTGAATCGTTCTTCTTCTTCTCTTCCGATCTTCTCTCTCTCTCTGACTTAGTCTTCCTGCTCCGGTGATTTTCTCCGCCATGCTGATTCTTCTTTCTCCACCATTAATTTGTCGTGTCGCCGCCTTTCCTCCACTACTATCTATTGGGTAAGGGATCTCCTTTCACATACTATTCTAGGTGCATGAGAAAAACAAGAAGGGCCTGAGTTTAATGATATAACTTTTCATTAACTACATTGGAATATGTGTTTTATACTTTGATAGTTTGATTAGCTTGTGAATATTGATTTGTATATGTGATTGATTGAATTATGTTAAGTACATTTTGAATCTTTAGTGATTGGTGGTTTGCTTTTTTTGAATTTTTCATATAAAATATATATTTAATTTTTTTTAATGTACCCGGTTGAACCCATGACCCCTGACCTAGGCCAGGTCGATGGTTGGGCCGGATTTTTAAACACTGCTTAAATGTTATATATATCAATGAAAAAAAAAGAAAAAAATTGTGTTTAGTAAGAATTTAAGGATGCAATTGTATGATTGAATATCATTGAAAAACACTAAATGGTGGTAATAGAGTGATGAGTTGTAAAAATAATAATGTGGGGAAAGAGGATACCAAAAAAAATAATAATAATAATAATGTGGGGAAAAAATACTAAATAAAACAGTCTTGTTGGAAAAGATTAATTGTTTTTTTATAACATTACTTTTTACAAATGTAATTATCATCGATAAAAAAATTTATAAAAGAAATTTATTATGAAGAAAAAAATTATATATACTTGTAAAAAAATTGGGACCA